CTGCTTGTTTGCATGACTTGTAGTTGTTGAACATTCTTCTGTGAAGTGGAGGACCAAACTGGTGAGCAGTAGTCAACGTGTGAGAGTGTGAGGCATTCTACTAGCAGCTTAAGTAATGAAGAGTCCAGGTAGGTGGCACATTTCCTTATCATTCCCAATGCACAGGCCATCTTCTTCGCAGTCACTTTTGTATGATTGTCCCAAGTGAGGCACTCATCAAGAGTACTGCCTAGGAGTTTTGTTTCCTTTACTTGCTGGATGACTTGGCCATTAGAATATAAGGTGAGTACTGGGTTCTTTTTTATTTTGGTTTACTCCCAACTACCATTGATTTTGTTTTGCCTGCATTGAGAAACAACCTGTTCATTAAGACCCAGTCACTTATGTGTTGTAGCTCTTTCTGCAAGGTGGAGTTGATTGTAGAGATTGACGGTGCACATGTGTAAGCAGAAGTATCATCTGCATACATAACTGAGGCAGCCTCCTTTGTGGCTAGAGGAAGATCATTTGTGAATATACTGAAAAGAAGGGGTCCCAGACAGCTCCCTTGAGGTACTCCACATGTGATATCCCTGAAGGAAGAGTTACGGCCATTGTAGTGAACACACTGCAAGCGTTGTGAGAGATAGCTCTCCATCCATTCAACTGCGGCCATACCGAAACCATAGCATTGTAGCTTTCTAAGAAGGTATGCATGATCAACAAGATCAAATGCAGCCGAAAAGTCGAGGAAGATCACTCCTATCAGGTTCCCACAGTCAATGTTACGGTACCAATCATCCACCATTTCCAGGAGAGCTGTGCATGTGGAATAGTGTTTCCTGAAACCATGTTGGTGGGTTGTCATTAAGGAGTTCTGTAAGAAGTACTGGGAGATTTGGTTGTACACAACTCGTTCTGCTATCTTGCTTATGGACGAAAGTAGACTTATCGGTCTTGCGTTCGGTCCACTCAAGCGGGCAGACGTAGACTTGGGCAAGGGAATCACCTTGGCCTTCTTCCATTCAGACGGGTAAACAGACGTAGTGAAAGACAGGTTTATAATATAACATAATGGTTGTGCTATATGATTGGCAGCCAGTTTAAGTAGTGTGTTGTCCAAGTTATCCAAGCCCATAGCTTTCCCATCAGGTAGAGACGACAGGAGTGAGTGCACTTCCTCAACATTCACCGGACTGAACTCAAACTTGCAGTCTTTGTTTTCCATGATCTCACTCTTTATCAAGGTAAGTAGGTTATCACCCATCTCTGAGTTTAGCCCATTACGTAGAGAGTCGACTTTCTGAGTGAAGAAGTGATTAAAGTACTCCGCTACGTCTTCTGCTCTGGTCAGGTAAGCACCGTCCTGTTCTACTATACAAGGTGGCTGATTTCGGTTTTTACCCAGCATACCATTAAGCGTTTTCCATAGGGCCTTGGGGTCATGCTTGGTCTCTTCTAGCTTGGTTTTGTAAAATGCGGCTTTCTTTTTCCGATTCAGTTTTACGACAGCATTCCTGAGTTTTTTGTAAACAAGTACATCTGATTCCAGGCGAGAGGAGATGGATTCTCTTCTCGCTTCTTCCCTGAGATGCATCAATTCCCTCAACTCGTCATCAAGCCAGGGTGCTGGGTTAGATCTTACTGTTCGCTTTTTTACTGGTGCATGGCTGTCGGCGACATCATTTAGTATGGTTGTGAGGACATGAAGAGCCATATTTACATCTGATTCATTATAAATCAAATGCCAGGGTGCCAGCTCAATGTCGCGTTGGAAATCTTGAGGGTTAAATTTCCCATACGCTCTCCTCTCTACTACCCGAGGTTGTGCCTTTGGAACCTTTGTTTTCCTTGTTGTGTATACAATGTTGTGGTCAGAGAATCCTAGAGGAGTCGATGACACTGGTGTGCATCTTTCCGCACAGTTGGTAAAGACTAGATCGATGTGAGTTTCTGTCCTTTGACCTCGGTTGTTAGTACCAATCCTCGTAGGACTTTTCACAGACTGGAGAAGGTTACACCTTACTGCTGCTTGAGCCAGCCTCTCTCTCAAGGGGCATAAATGGTTGGACCAATCAATGTTGAAATCTCCTAGAATGAACACTTCATTGTTTGAGTCCGTTGCCCTGTCAATCGAGGCTATGATGTTGTTGAAGGTTTGTATTGATGAGCCCGGAGGCCTGTAAGTACAGCAGATTAGCATAGGTTTTGTTTGTGGTAGAGTCACCTCCAGCCACAGCATTTCCACATTGACCTCCTCCAGGTCCAGTCGCTGTTTCCAAGGTAGGTTACTGCAGATTAAGATGGCCACTCCTCCACCATTTCTGTTCCTGTCTTTCCTAATAACAGTCCAGCCATCTACACACAAGTCACTGTCACTAATGTTTGAGTCCAAGTGTGTTTCTGACAAGGTGAGTATATGCAACTTATTGTTCTCTAGTAGTTCTTGTAAGTCCTGTGTTTTGTTTCTCCAGCTGCATATATTTAAATGACCAATATGGAGACCCTTCGGTGGTAGCTGTAAGTCTGTTGGTCCCGGATTACAACTGACATCTCCACAGAGCAGTATGAGTACACACAAAACCAGTTTATGAGAGCTAGCATGATTAACATCACCACTACTAGACTGCGTCTTCATGACATGTGGGAACAATTTGTTGATACATACTAGGTTCCAGCTAAGACATCTTTTAAGTACTTCTTGTGTCCTTATAATAGTCCATGAGCCGTCAGACGGCCTATATTTGACTAGCTGCCTGTTTACTTCTGAGTTAGTAGCAGATAACCCAACATCGCTGACATTTCTACACATAGGCAAAACCACTGAAAGACAAGCAATATACAATATATACAAACCCACAATGAGTGTCATCTTTGATTCTCCAATCTAGGATCACTATACCAACTGATTGTAATTTGTAGTAAATTGCTAGTGGGCTTACACATCAAATACAAATCAATTAACACATCAGTAGTTCAACCAGTAAAATTTGAAATTGTCTAATTAATTTATGCACGAGATTCCAGTATTTTTAAAATCATGGACTGTTGAACTACAGTTAAAATTGAATTACTTATCATAGGAACAAGAGCTGAGGCGCACTGTCCGAACATGCATCCAGCATTACAAACATGCAATAAAGTAAACAAAGTAAGCTGGGAACCAACTACCTAGGTGATCTAAGCTAGAAAACAGGTCAAAAACACATTGGCAGAACACACTGACTATCCGACGCGTTGTACAAGAAACGACAGTTCTTATTTTCACAGATGGATAAAAATGCTAACCTCACATTCTCTTGCTTTCTGGATAACACTTGTTCATTATTTCTCGTCTTTGACACAATAAACCCAAAGATATTGTGCTAAAACAATGAAGCAAGCAGATGTGACGAATCTAAACCATTCTAGAACGTGGTTCGGCTTAGAGTCGTTGCCAGGGAACTAGACGGTAGAGTTGTAGAGAACAACAGTCAGTTTATTCGAACGAACGCGCCGTAGAATGTAGCCAAGTTCAAACTTTGTGTTGGCGGCGCCTGCAGTTCAGCAGGTGGTCCGATGGAGGCAGCAGGGCGTGACCAGGTATCTCAGGTGAGAATATTAACAGGTGAAACAGAATGGATGTTGGAGAGAGACGATGTAAGATCTATAACTAAAACCACTGCCTCTACCAGGCTTCGAGAGCGTCAAAATGCACTGTACTCTTTAGCGGACCAACTCCCCTGGCATGTTATCTGTCTATTTGGCCAATGTCTACTCTTTGCAGCCGCTTCCCGAAGCCTGGTAGAGGCTAACGATAGCCCAGAAGGGTGAGGTGGATTTCTCTATTCTAGTGACTCGCTATAGCGACTTAAAAACTGCGCCGATGCCTAAAAACAATTTTCTATAACGGTTACTTTTCAACGTTTGCCCCTACTTTTTGCTCTCAAAAATGACAAGTTCACAGATTGAATGGTGAATTTGACTTGTTTGTGATCCAGGGGGACG